GAACGTTGAAGGAAGATAACTTCTGAAGAAGCTGCAAGGGCCTGATTTTATAGACGGCCTCTGGGAATCAATCGCCCAGGTACCGCAACAAAGAAGGTAGCTGCGTCCAGGAGAAGGACGAGTGGGATCTGATTTGCCTTTCCATGCTTCCAGGGCATTCAGAGAAAGCACATGGCCACAAACCCTTCCTGCGGATCGAATCACCTCTTGCCCTGATATTTTGAAGGGTCTGGGACTGGGGGCAATCCCAAATCGCTTCCTTCTGCGTAATTAAGTACTCTTTACGTCGGTGCTTCTCAGAAGGAAAAACCCTTCGGCCAGAGGGTAATCAATTCTACTTTACTATGCCCCGGCACCCTACTTCCGTTTTTGAGGCCCGCTAGTATCCATATGAGCGGGAAGAACCAAGGACTCTTGAACAGCAAGCCCATGCTCCTGCTGTTCCCTGTCTGCTGGACCCCTTATAGACTGTAAGGTTTTCCTGAGGGTTCCTTTCTTTAAGGGTAGTATATGGTATGTTCCTCGAAGGCATTTTGGAGTGATCGTTGCTAAGTGCCCGGAGGGCAATGACTGATTGCAAGCATTGATGCCTTGCCAGAGGGTTTAGGATGTAGAGGTTCAGGGGTTTAGGGTCTATGGCTTAGGGTTTTACGGGTCTAGGGTCTAGGTGTTTAGGGTACTGTAGAAGCCTGAATACGACCCATATCATTGATTAGGGTTCCGTGTCACCCACCAGTTTTTTTCGGACCCCACAGCATTCCGCAACCCGATCCTAGTCATCAAGATCTCTACATGGGTAGTTGTCTAAATTAGGGTCCCCTTTTAGGGTCCTTTTTATAAGGGAGCCGTACTATATTGGGGACCTAAAAAGGGACCCCTAGTTTAGAGAACTACCCCCATGAGTTGCTCAGTACACCTGTGCCCAAAAGAGCCGTCAGGTTAGGGTTTAGGGTTTAGGGTTTAGGGTTTAGGGGTTTAGGGTCGTATTTCCTTGTACGCAAGTGTGTTTCTCACGGGTCCCTCTTGAAAAAGGGATGTCCTGAACCCCGCCCCCTTCCACCCATCTTAGAGAGATGGGATGTAGGTTATCATGGCTTACGCAGGATGGAAATTTAGAGCCCTACTAGTCTCAGGGCGTAGGGCTTTTGGGCTTTAGGGTTTAGGATTTTCGTTTTTTTGGGTTTAGGGCTTTTGGTTTTAGCTGTAGGCTTTTGGAGATTTGCACTTTTCTATGTACTTATCAGTAGTTCAAAAAAAAATAGGGTCCCTTTTGAGGTCCCCAAATATAGTACGGCACTCTTATGTAAGGGACCTTAAAAAGTGACCTTAAAATTTAGAGAACTATCCTTATGGTAGGGTTCCGGTAGCCCTGAAAAACCCAGCGAATGAAAGGACGAAGAAACTGACGCGATCGACACAAAATCCTGCGTCCCTGGGCGTTACTCAGGAGCCTTTGTAATTAGACTAGGGTTTGGGGGGATATATTATACTGAAGTTACAAGAAGGAACCCCCGGAATCTGAGCAGACCTTTGTGGATGAGGGGTGAAAATAGGCCAGCAAGGTTGTCTAAGGGCTGTTATTATGCCTTAGAGCGGCCAGTGTTGTTTAGAGGTCATGAGCTTCCTTCTGTGAGCGTCTCTGTTGTGTTGTTGACTCTTAGACCCTGAACCCTAAGCCCTAAACCCTAACACCCTAAACTCCTAAACCCTTAAACCCTAAACCCTTAAACCCTAATCTAGCCCTTGTTTGTTTAGATTAAAGGTTTAGGCTGCAGACTTTTGGGTTTCTTGGGCACGAAGGTACGGGGTTTGGGAGTGCTTGTCGTGATTTATGCTGGGACTCCTGTTTTGGTGTTTAGGGTTTGAGGTTTAGGGTTTACGGTTCCAGAGTAGAAGCTTTCCATCAAGAATCCGAGATTGCTTGGAGGTTCATGGGCAGCTGTTTTGGTGTGGTTGTGAACTACTTGAATTGCGGCATAAGTGCTTCTACGTGTCCTTGCCTGCATGCAAGCCCTACTTACTAGGTCCCATGATCCATTTAGTACCGATGTAAACATGTTGTTGATGGATATAAATCCTGCATTACCTTAAGGACCCTAAACTAGGGGAATTATGGTATATTCCTTATTATGGGCACTGCAGGGTGGCTTTTTTTATCAACCGTAAGAAGCCCAAAACCAGTTCGCTCAGGTCGCCTTTGAAATGGGCACCTGCTTTCTGCACAACGGCTGCTTGGCTGCGGGACTCTTGCAGACTCCAAAATCCTGCAATGAAGAGCTGGATTTACCCTAAACCCTAGACCCTAAACCCTATAAACCCTATGAGCCCTATAAACCCTATAAGCCCTAAACCCTAAACCCTAAACCTTACCTGTACACAGTTGGAAAAAGGCCCTTCAACAAAAACCTACCTGGTCAATCTCCGGGATCTCTTCAACCACCTAGCCCTAAACCCTAAACCCCAAACGGCCTAAACCCTAAACCTCAAACCTTAAACCTTAAACCCTAAACCCTAAGCCCTAAACCCTAAAGCCAAAGTCCCGCGACGGCTTAAGGCCCTGAGCCCTGGGCCCCATGCCCCTTGGCCCGAAACCTGACGATCCGAGTCCTGAAGGCCCTGAGCTCTCGACCCTGCACCCTTTTTGTGGCTTAGGGTTTAGGGTGTAGGGGTTTAGGGTTTAGGGTTTAGGGGTTTAGGGCTTAGGGTTTAGGGTTTAGGGTTTTGGGTTTTGGGTTTAGGGTTTTGGGTTTTGGGTTTAGGGTTTGAGGTGTAGGGCTTAGGGTTTAGATAATTTGAAAGAGCCGCCCATTGAATGGGTTCTTGCTTGATAACAAGGACCCGGTTTTCTCCACAAATGTATGATAGCAGCTCTGATAGCAGATGGCAAGGATGATGATCAGTGAGTGCTGACATCATGATTGCCACCGACCGTCCCAATCCGATAAGCCCTAACCCCCAAACCCCAAACCTCCCCCAAAGCCACCGATGATGGGCGGCGCGGAAGACAGCGGCCCTTTAACTTTCCATGGCAACACGAAGTCTAGGGCATTTTCAGGTGGGTAGTTTCCGTTATAGGAGGCCTATAGAATGTGTATATACCTTATAGAAGCCTTGTAGAAGCCCTATATACCCTAAACTCCACACCTGTAGTTTCCTTTAAGAAGGGTGTTAGGTTTGGGCAAGCCTAAGCCCTGCTTTGGGGCCCTGGTTCTTTTTATGGTGCCCTCTTGCGTAACCCTAGACCCAAAACCGTCAACCCTAAGCCCTAGACCCTAAACCGTCAACCCTAAACCCTAAACCCTAAGCCCTAAACCCTAAATCTTCAAGCCTAAACCCTCAACCCTGGAACCTCAAGCCGGGACCCTAAACCCAAAGCCCTCAGCCCCACAAGAAGAGCCGTTGCCGAAGAGTTTCGGAGGCTACCACACCATCTATGACCTTGTGGACGAGTACAGCTTGCCGAAGACGGCCAGGGTTTAGGGTTTAGGGTTTAGGGTTCGGAGCGTTTTCTGTTTATCGGCAGTTCTCCAAATTGGGGTCCCTTTCTAGGTCCCCAAATAGTACGGCACCCTTATAAAAGGGGCCCTAAAGGGGACCCTAATTTAGAGAGCTACTCTTATACCATATAGTTCGGTTCAATGATTTATATCCAACACTGACCTTTCAATGTCAGTTCGGATCATTGTTTTTGAGGTTTAGATTATTTTTTTCGAACTATTATTTTAGGGTTCGGACTACTAAGGGTTCGGGCTGTTCTTTTGGGGTTCGGACTCCTGTTTTCGGTTCGGACTATTATCTTAGGGTTCGGACTATTATTTGTTCGGTTCGGACTACTGTTTTAGGGTTCGGTCTATTATTGCAGGGTTCGGACTACTCTTTCAGGGTTCGGACTACTGTTTTAGGGTTCGGGCTGTTATTTTATGGTTCGGGCTATTATTTTAGCAGGGTTCGGACTATTATTTTATGGTTCGGACTAGTATGTAAGGTTCCGACTACTACCACTACTACTTTAGGTTTCGGACAATCATTTTAGGCTCGGACTACCGTTTGTGGTTTATGGCAATTTTGCCTTGAACCGCGAAGCATTGGCCTTGAACCACGAAGGTTGACCTTCGTGGCTCAAGGCCATGTCGTTCATGGTTGATTTGCCTTGATGATGGCCTTCATGGTGCAAGGCAAAAATTGCCTGGAACCATGAAGAGTTTGCCTTGAACCACAAAGGTTGGCCTTCGTGGTTCAAGGTCAGGTCGTTCGTGGTTCAAGGCAAACAACTGGCCTCGAACCGCGAAGGATTTGCTTTGAACCTGCCTTAAACCCCGAATTATCAGCTTTGCCTTGAAACACAAATTATTGGCCTTGAACCACGCATTATTAGTTTTTTGGCCTTGAACCACGAATTGGCCTTGAACCACGGACGATTTTGCCTTGAACCACGAATACTCGTGGCTCAAGGCAAAAGAAGTTCGTGGTTCAAGGCAAAACACGACGATTTGCATTGAACCACGAATTACAGGCTTTGAACCACGAGTGATTGGCCTTGAACCACGAAGTCATTAAAGCTTAAACTAATATGTGATGGAGAGGCTTGGGGTTTCGGGTTTAGGATTTAGGGTTTAGCTTGCAGGGTGTAGGGTGTAGGGGGGTTTAGGGTTTGAGAGGCTTCTGGGCATATTCTCGTATAGCTATTTAGGAACTATCAGGAGGGTCGTGGTACTCATCGTAAAGACCTTTACCTTCCTACATCCCTAAACCCTAAACTCGTCTAACACCATCAAGCCCTGACCCAGAGACTCCATTATCCCTTAGTTTAAGGTATAGTAGGAACCCTAATAAGATTAAGGTATATTCCCGAAGTAAGGGGATATTGGAGCCTAAACCCTACACCCCTAAACCCTAAACCCTAAAACCCTAAACCCTAATAAGATTTAAGGTATATTCCTTAATTAAGGAACATTGGAGTCTCTGGGAAGCCGAGACAGGTGGCCCCCGAGGGCCGAGCCATGTTCTCGCACTTTACGGATCCCGGGCCCAGTTCTTGGAAGTCTTTTGCAACTTTCTCTTCTTAGGCTTGGTTTAGGGTTTAGGGTTTAGGGTTTAGGGTTGAGTCTTAGGCTTTACGGTTTTTAGTTTTGTTTGATTTTTCCGCAGCGAGTTTTGTGGTGTAGTATGTTCCCAAGTGTAAGTCCTGCATAAACCCTAAACCAGGATCACTTGCATGCCTTGCCCATGGACAAGTTCGTGAGCAAATCGTAACTTGGAGCAAGCGTGAAGATTTGGGTTTAGGGTTTAGGGTTTAGGGTTTAGGGTTTAGGGTTTGGATCCAACGGTACTAACATAGAAGCCTGAAGAACTACCAGCATCGTAGTCTTTCGGGTTCGTTATTGCAAATACAGAGCCAGGATAATACACCCCTCAAAGCATCGTTGTGATGATTATGGACCCCTTGTTTCCTTGACCGTTTATGGTCCTGAATGGTATCTGTTTGCAGATGTGGAGTTCATTCGACGGGTGTTGTCATTAGGGTTCGTGGCTCGGAGGTTCGCGGTTTGGGAATTTCGGCGTTTGAGTGTCAGTGCTTCCGGTTTCGGGTCAAGGTTTCCAAGCATGAGTGTGAGATAAGGGCCTAAGAATCAGTACTAGCAGTATAGATGGCCGCGGCTGCAGGGCCCATGGCACGCATGATTAGTTTTGGGGACTGAATGCTAAATATTTGGGCAGGGTTCCCAGCTTATTGTAGCACAAACTCCTAATCCAAATTGGCTTTAAACCATGGTAGACTCTTGTAGAACTAGCAATAGAACCCTGAAATAGAGCCCCTAGCATTAACTCTTTGAAGAGCCCTGGAAAATACATGTACTCTCATTTTAAAAAGACCGATGGAGAGTTAGGGCGAACGTTCAACACGACCTTTTTGACAGCCCTAAACCCTAAACCCTACACCTTAGACCCTAGACCCTAAACCCTAAACCCTAAACCCTAAACCCTAAACCTTTATGCCTTAAGGAGACCCTAAGCCTTCCATCCTAAACCCTTAACCCGAAACCCTTGAACTCTTCAGAAGCCCTCAACCTGACAAGCCCTACTGTTGATGATATAGATCCTGCATGACCTTAAGGGCCCTAAACTAGGGGAATTATGGTATATTCCTTCTTTTGGGTACTGCAGGATTTATATCATCAGCCGTACTATATAACCTAAACCCTAAACCCTAAACCCTAAACCCTAAACTCTATAAACCCTGAACCCTATAAACCCTAAGCCCTGAACCCTAAACTCTATAAGCCCCAAACCCTATAAACCCTAAGCCCTGAACCCTAAACACCCTAGGACCTTCGGGCTCATAATAAGGAATATACCATAATTCCCATAGTTTAATGTCCTTAAGGTAATGCAGGATTTATACCATCCACAATAGTACGCCCCTAAACAGCCGAGGATCCTAGAAGCCACCCCTAAACCCTAAACCCTAAACCCCTAAACCCCTACACCCAAAACCCCTACACCCTACACCCTAAGCCCTAAACCCTAAACCCCAAACCCGTTTGTATCATCAGCCGTGGCAATCCCCTAAAGAGCCGAGGATCCTCGAGGCCATCGACGAAGGCAAGATCAAAGTGCCGATTTGGGTCTCCTGGCCGTGGTGTAGGGTTTAGGGTTTAGGGTTTAGGGTTTATAGAGTTTAGGATTTAGGGGTTTAGGGTTTAGGGTTTAGGGTTTTAGGGTTTAGGGTCTCCTGGCCCGGGTACCGGCAGACCCAGAGAACCCAATACCCCTTAACGAAAGAATATAGGGTCCCTTTAGAGGGTTCCTGAAAGGGATCTCTTTAAAGGGATCTATAAGGGTTTTTATAGGTGAATTCAGGAATATGCCTTAAATTATAGGGGCCTTAATATTATGATTTAAGGTCTATTAAGGAATATACCTTAAATTGTAGGGGCCTTAGTCTTATGATTTAAGGCATATATTCCCTAATATAAGGGGTATTGGGTTCTCTGGGTATCTAGGACCTGAGACGGTGTGAAAGGTTTAGGGGCTTTGGCTTTAGGGTTTTGGGTTTAGGGTTTAGAGCTTTGGGGAAGTTTGGGGGTTTAGACTCGTTTAGGCCCGGGGATGTAAGGCAGTTCCTGCGTTTTATTTGGGGTTTAGGGTCTAGGGTTTAGGGTTGAGGCCTGGGCAGATCTCGGCCTTTTTTGGGTCCTGCAGGGTCTTCTAGGATATTGGGAGGGTTCTGTTTTGGGCTTCGCAGGGCTCTTGTCATAGGATCTTTGTAAATTGTCAGGCTGGGGTTCGAGGGGTTGAGCAGGTACTCGTACTGCAGATGGACAAACTCCGGCATTGGCGAAACCAAGCCGCATAATTGGCCTAATTTCCTGGAGGCCCATCAGGGGCCGCAAGACTTGGTCATCTGTCGTCCAGTGCTGGCAGCATCATGATCCCTAAACCCTAAACCCCTTATGTAATTAGGGCTTAGCGTTTTGGGCCCTACCCCCCCCCCTCCCCACCCCCCAAGTCTGAGGCTTGTCTGAGTCACTGGTATAGTAGCATCTAGACTAGTCAGAGTAACAGCCATACTAGTAGAAATATAATAGCAATCACAAATAATATTAACAATTAACAATGACAATAAAACCACAGTAAGAATACTCTAAAGCCATAAGCATATCCTTAAAAAGCAACAGCAGCAACCACAAACGATACCCCCAGCGAGCCAAAGCTGCTCTTGCTCAGATGTGTGGGGGTTTCCGCGGGGGATGACGTAATGAAGCGGTTTGGGGCTCGGGGCTTAAGGACCAAACTACACTGGTTTCGGGGTTTCAAAAGCCGAATGGTGTCAAAGAAATGCAACCCTAAACCCTAAACCCTAAACTCCAAACTCTACACCCTAAGCCCTAAACCCTAAACCCTACACCCTAAACCCTAAACCCTATACTTCTTGCAGTACTGCAGATGGTCAGGTCTGCCAATGAGGCTGGCTGCTGGTTTGAGGGTTTGGTGTCGGCCCCTGCCTCACACCTTGGATGCTCGTCAAGCCCAAAACCCAAGACCCTAAACCCTAAACCCTACTGCTCTTACAAAAAACCCTAAACCCTAAACCCTAACCCGCCGCCCGCAACAGCCTACAGGGCCCGAAATGACTAGACTAGGGTTTAGAAGGTTCTATAGGCATGAGAGGTTTTTTCGAAAAGGGACCCGTGAGGGTATGATTTACCAACTTTTTTTCCCTTCACCCCCAGAACCCTAAACCCCAAACGCTATCTCTACATTTAGACGGAAAGCCCCGAGGCTATCACGGAAGACTGGAAAGTGATGTACTCGCTACTCCACGCCGTGAACAAGTACAACAAGATGCACAAGGCCGGTCACGGAGGCGTCTGTGTTCGTAGTATAGGGTCTAAGTAATTACCAACGTTATCCCTTAGGCCCTAAAACCCTAAACCCCCTAAACCCTAAACCCTAAACCCTGAACCCCTAAACTCTAAACCCTATGATGTCCACCAAAACCTACTATAATTTACTAGAATATACCATAATATACTATAATATACTACAATATACTATAGTATACTATAATGTACTATAATATACTATAATATACAATAGGGGCCCCAGTCGTCGTCGGAATAGTGTTTCAGGGCTACATTCTGGTATAGTTCTGACACGGAGCCAGTAGACACCGCAAGCGGTTCGCGCCATCGCGTGTCTTCGGTAGGGTTTAGGGTTTACGGTTTAGGCCTTAGGGTCTATAGGGTTTAGAGTTTAGGGGTTTAGGGATTCAGGGTTTAGGGTTTAGGGTTTAGCACGTTTCAGGGTTTAAAGTTTCGACACAAGGCCTCGTAGTATTCATGCTTCACTTGTTTGGCACCCTTCTCGCTGGTTCCCAGAAATTTTTTTCCGCCCTGAGCCCTTCACCCTATTCTGGAAGGATCCTTAAACTCACGCCTAGACGAAACCCAACATCTTGCAAGGCCTTCCAAATCCCGGATGCCAAGCCCCCAAAATGTCGACGAAAAGACTTAGCCTCAAGCCCCAAACCCGAAACCCTAAACCCCGCCGAGCAGGAGATTTTCGGGGACATCGAGTTTTCTATGCCAGCACCGCTTTCTGACGAGAATCTCCAGCGGATCAACATGACATTTCTGACGTGCTTCGGCCTGAACCACAATCAAACTCCTGGGCATCTGGCTTCGGCTGGGGCTACCAGGGGCATGGGGCTTATGAAATCCTCTCCTGAGAGGTCTTTGGTATTGTACCGTCCTAGGGCTTTTTGGGGGGTTTTTGTAGGAAATGTCCTGCAAGCCCATCTTTCGGAACTTTTGCGCTTGCCTTCCGCCAGGCTTCGTCGAAACCCTAAACCCTAAACCCTAAACTGCCCGGGTGTTGCATTCCGAAACCCGCAGCACTGCCCCCCAGGTCTGAGCTTTGCACCATTGAAGAATCCCGACCTTCCAAAGGAATTTGGTTTGAAATCCCTGTACCCTAAACCCTAAATAATGGTGGTAGGATCCCTAGCATGATTTAAGGTGGCTTCCGTAATGGGTTTAGGTTTTAGGGTTTAGGGATGTTGGCAGAAATCAGGTACTTGTTGCATTCTATGGGCTTCTGACAGAAGTATACTTTGTTGGAGCTGTTGCTAGGGGTTGAAGGGGGGTTTGCGGGTTTAGAGGCTTAGGGTTTAAAGTTCAAATTTCTATCATCTAAACCAGCGCCCCAGACATGGACCCTGATGCACCACACAGCTTTTCAAACTCTAGGGTTTAGGGTTTAGGGTTGAGGGTTTAGGGTTTAGGGTTGAGGGTTTAGGGTTTAGGGTTCTATGCGCATTGCAGATCGCCCCGTCCTTGTCGGGACCCAGCACGAGGCTTCCAAAGTGCGTTGTCAACACCAATCGAAACCATATCCCCCTAAAGCCCTAAAGCCCTAAAACCCCGAAATCCCAAAACCCTCAACCCGGCTCTCAACCCCTCGGACCTAGGAAGCTGCAAAAATCGTTAAAAAAAAGCCTTCGGAAAGAAATGAAGTTAGCTTGAGCTGAAGCATACTTCACCCCAAAGCTCTGTTTTAATGAGTAAGGCCCCTGTCGGAACCTGCGAAGGGAACTTTAACAGAAGCCTTGAAGATCAAACCGTCACAGAAACCCGCAGGGGTTTCAGGGGTTTAGGGTTTAGGGTTCAGGGTTTAGGGTTTATAGGGTTTGGGAACCTTTATAGAAGCGCGTAAAGGAGTCCTATGCCCGATTGTAGCTGAGGTACCTTGAAAGCAACGAGTTGCATGCTCTGGCCGGCTTCCTCATGCCCCGACCTCAGGGTTTTTATGGCTTATTGCTTTAGGCTTTTTGGGTTTTAGGGTCCAGGTTTTATGGTTTGTTGCTTTAGGGCTTTTGGGTTTTAGGACGTTAGGGTGAGACTTAGGCACTGCGCCCATACAGGAACAGTCTAGACCAAAGCCTGCCACTAAAGGCCTCATATATCTATATTATGGATGTACATAAATTTCATTCAACTGTTACGGACTGGGGGCAGTATCCAAGATAAGACCAGAAGCACTGAGCCCCAGATCTGATATTAAACCTTAAACCCTGAAGCCTAAACCCCTAAACCCTAAATCCGTAAACCCTTAAACCCCTAAACCCCTAAACCCTAGACCTTAAACCCCTAAAGCCCTAAACCCCTCAAACCCCAAAACCCCAAACCCCCTAAATCGCTAAGCCCCTACAACCTTAGACCCTAAGCCAGGGGTCGGGCTGGGGTTTAGGGTACAGGGTTTAGCAGTTGTATCCATTTCAGGGCCAGAAGTTCCTTTTAGACTCTTAGACGTCTATAGGGCAATATACGATTCAGGGGTTAGGGTTGTATAGGGTTTTGAAAATGTTTAGGAGTGATTATTCATAGTATCGCCCTAGAGCCCCCCTGAACAATTTGAACTTTAGGGTTTAGGGTTTAGGGTTTAGGGTTTGGGGTTTAGCGCTTAGGGTTTAGGAAAATAGAACGCTATCCGACTGATTCAGGCCTCGAAGCCGCGGTCGGAACAAGTTGTGATCATGTTCTCCCTATGCCCGTATAAAGATAGAGTATAGTAGGGTATATTCCTAGCTAAACCCTACACCCTAAACCCTGAACCCTAAACCGTGGAACCTGTGCTAACAAACCAGGCCCGGATCTTGCCAGCATGTATATTCGCTCGGCCCACGCTCTACAGGACACAAGATTTAGGGTTTAGGGTTTAGGGCTTAGGGTTTAGCGTTTAGGGTTTAGGGTTTCGGGTTTAGGGTTTGGGGTTTAGGGTTTGGGGTTTAGGGTTTAGGGATAAGATTTAGGGCTTCTTAGTCTAAGGAATCTAAATTCTAAGCCGCGTAAACCCTAAGCCCTAAACCCTGAACCCTACACTCCTACACCCTAAACCCTGAACCCTAAGCCCAAAGATCTAAATCCTAGGTCCTAAGCGCTAAACCCTAAACCCTGAACCCTAAGCCCAAAGCCCTAAATCCTAAGCCCAAAACCCTAAACCCTGGCATCCTTTGTGGGATTCGAGCAAGCAGCGGACCCTCCTTTGGCTCATAGCCCAACTATAGGGGCCGGTGCAATTACCAATATTTCTCCCTCAACCCTACATCTCAGGGTTTGGAGTCAAGGTTTTGGGGGTCTAGGCTTTAGGGTTTAGGCTTTAGTGTTTAGGCTTTACGGTTTAGGCTTTAGGGTTTAGGCTTTAGGGTTTAGGCTTTAGGGTTTAGGCTTTCGACGAACCGGCAGGCCTCCTCTGCACTTTTAGACAACATGGTTTCATTGGTGCGTGGAGTATGCTTTCCAGGTAGCCTTAGTGGTGAATCCCACAGCCCCAAACTGCAGACCGCAAGTGCAAGACCCCCCACACTCTCTGACAGCTCCTCCTAAACCAATCTCCGTACAAGAACTTATTTCAATAGTTGATTGGAACAGCCTCCCTCTGGGTTTATCCGTTCTTTACATGGGACTTTTTACGTGTTGGGTGCTTCACAGATATCTGCCATGCCAACAACAGGTTTCGACTTTGCGGATGTGGAGGGTGTGGTACGCAAAGTGCGCCTGCAAATGGGAGACCTCTCTGTAAACAGGCCTCGTTGTCTTGAACAGCTGTGTACGCTCGCTGGACGTGGTATGGACTGAGTAAGAGCATGTTTGTTAGGATCCCAAAGATGCCGGCGACCTTCGTTAGCAGGCCTGACAACTCTAGCTTGTGTGAAATGTTGCGTGTTGAACGCCTTCGCCCAGCAGAAGACCTTCAGGTTCGCAGAAGCAACCTGTTTCATGAGCATTTATTTGGCGTGGACGACCTTACGGCTCCGGATCCCAGCATGGCCATTGATAGTTCCCCGGATGGGGATGCACTTGATCATGCAGGGCTTAGGGTTTAGGGTCCTGCCGTCAGGAGGGAAATACTCTGTGGTCAACTGGTCGCACATGGCATCCACAACGCTGGCCATCCTGCAATCGACTACTCATTCCGAGTGAAAGGCTTTGCAACCCGTGGGATCGACAAGACCCTGAATCGACACCAAGAGCCCCGCGTGCCCCAAACTTAGGGTTTAGGGTTTAGGGTTGAGGGTTTAGGGTTTAGGGTTTGGGGAACTTAACCTTAGACTCTGGGATGGACCCTAAACCCAAAGCCCAAGGTGTGAACCCTTCGCCATAGCTCCCAGGTTCGCGCATGCAGCTCAAGGCTATGGCTACGTGACACTTGGGCGTGGATACAGTGCTCGCTATATGAGATAAGACGTAACATAATTTAGTATCACTTTTGTAGGCATTTGTTTTCGGAAGAACACGGACTTTCCAGCGCAGAATACGACAGTTAGGCCTTTCGTCCTTTCAAACACAATCGGAGCCCTCCCCCGCCCCGCCGCTCTCGACATACCCCAGGGTTTGGCATTTATTGAGGGTTTAGGGGTTTTCCGACAGCACGAGACTGCATGCAAAGCCGTTTTAAGCTCCATAAAGCCCTACAGAAACCTGTCAAGACCCGGAGAAACCTATCAAAACCGTCTAGAGCCCCCAAAGCCCCAAACCCGAAACCTCATTCCCAGAGCCCCCTACACCCTAAACCCTAAAAACCCTAAAAAACCCTAAACCCTAAACCCTAAACCTCTAAACCCCTCAACCTTAAACCCCTAAACCCCTAAACCCTAAACCTTAAACCGTAAACCCCTAAACCCCTAAACCCTGAACCCCTAAACCCCTAAACCCAGTCCTTAGAACCCAGGAAAACCATCCCTGCCTTCTACGGGCTCTGGTGGATCAGCCCAGAGCTGCTGAACGGGCAGCCCGGCCGGGAGGTGTACTCGACTCGGCGTATTTAGGGCTTAGGGTATTAGGGTAGTAGGGAATTGGGGTATTAGGGTATTAGGGTTTAGGGTTTAGGGACTAGGTTTTAGGGCTTAGGGTTTAGGGTATTAGAGTATTAGGGTATTAGGGTATTAGGGTATTAGGGTATTAGGGTATTAGGGTATTAGGGAATTAGGGTATTAGGGTATTAGGGTTTAGGGACTAGGTTTTAGGGCTTAGGGTTTAGGGTAATTATTAGGGTAGTAGGGTATTAGGGTATTAGGGTATTAGGGTTTAGGGGTTAGGGTTTAGGGCTTAGGGCATCAGAGAGAGTCGCTAGCAAGTAGAACAGGGTTTTGGGGTGCTGCGTACAGCGAGCCGAGGAATGGGACCCGATTGCAAAGTCTTCACGCATTTTCTGCCCCTAAACCCCAAACCCTACACCCATGAAGACGGCTTGGACCCGTGTGCTGCGGAGAAAGGCCACTGCAC